ATCCATGCCCATCTTCCTCTACTTTATATGGGACACCGCCACAGCATGGCTTGACAAGCGGTGCGTCAGTCCGTGCCCAGGATCCGAACCTGTGAGCCCTGGACCGCCAAAGCGGAGCACGTGCACTTAACCGCTATGCCGCGGGCTGGCCCCCCACTGGATTATTTTAAAGCAAATCCAAGTCATATTGTCATTTCATCTGTAGATACTTCAATATATATTTTTAAAATATATAAGGCCTCATTAAAAAAAACCCATAAAATCATTATCATAGCTAAAAGTCATTGACACTAATACTTTAATATCATTAAATATCCACAGTGTTCCAGTTTTCTCAAGTGCCTTGTAAATGTTCTCTTTGCACTTGGTTTATTCAAATCAGAATCTAAACAGTTTCCACTCATTACATTTGTGTGATATGCCTCTTAAATATTTTAATCTATAGTAGTTATACTGTTAAATTTTTTTTTCCTTGCCACTTATTTCTTGAAAAACCAGGTCATTTATCTTGGAGAATGTCTGGCATTCTGGATTTTCCTGATTCTCCCCATTGTGTCACTTAATGTATTACTATATCCTCTAAGGGCCTTTATATTGTTTATTCTCGTTCTTCTTCCCTCTGACATTATTTTATTTAGTCATTCATCACTGAACAGATATCTTTTGGACAGTCACCATGTGGCAAACACTGTGCAGGGTACTGGGGATACTTCTTTGGTCTTTTCCTCTAGTAGATGACTAGGTTGGTAGGAGTTGGCTGTTAAAAGAACATTTAATCTAGCATTTTTACAAAGTATTATAGCCCTAGGGTACTCATGAGCTGAACTGCCACATACAACAACGTGAAACGTAGCCAGAGTTCTAGCTTAGAAACAAATGAGGGATTTCTTTTCATCTTTGCTCCCCATCTGCTGTGTAGGGTGAAGGGATTTCCTCAGCTCCAAGCAATAATGAAAGGTCCAGCGGCCTATGATGTTGAAGCTGGGGAAACAGTTCATTTTTTTGTTCTTGAGTTGTATGAGTTCTTAATATAGTTTGGAAATTAACCCCTTGTCAGATACATGATTTGCAAATACTTTCTCCCAGTTGGTGTGTTGTCTTTTTGTTTTGTTGATGGTTTCCTTTGCTGTGCAGAAGCTTTTTAGTTTGATGTAGTCTCATTTATTTATTTTTTCTTTTGTTTCCTTTGCCTGAGGAGACATGGTATTCAAAAAGATACTGCTAAGACCAATGTCAAAGAGTGTACTGCCTATGTTTTCTTTTAGGATTTTAATGGTTTCAGGTCTTATGTTGAAGTCTTTAATCCATTTTGAGTTATTTTTTGTGTATGGTGTGAGATAATGGTCTATTTTCATTCTTTTGTATGTGGCTGTCCAGTTTTCTCAACACTATTTATTGAAGAGACTTTTCGTTTCTCCATTGTGTGTTCTTGGCTCTTTTGTTGAAAATTAGCTGTCCATCGATGTGTGGTTTTATTTCTGGGCTCTCAATTCTGTTCCATTGATCTGTGTGTCTGTTTTTGTGCCAGTACCATGCTGTTTTGATTACTATAGCTTTGTGTAGTATTTATTTAGTCATTCCTCAGAGATAAGTTACTGTTCACACATGGTGTATTATTCTGTCTACTTATGTACATGTTTGTATATATGTTGGAAATTTTTCATAATTCAGTCTGTGAAAAATTGGTAATAAAGGGCTTTAGAGATTATTTATTATAATTCCTAATTTTATACAAGGGGACACTAGGCACAAGAATATATGTGTGTGCTTGGTGGAGGCTGGCAGGTGTTAAAGAGGTGAGACAAGCTCTCTCTCCAGAGAAGAAAGGAGTCAATGGTGATGCTGATGTTTGAAGCCTGATATGTACTCCATATGTTTATGTGAAAGGAAATCTTCAATTGATTTTAAGACTGTTATGGTCTCTTTTGAGCAAGCTGTGATCAAGAGAATCAATCAGAAGCTATTAGATACTTCTCCAGTAAGTCCTTAATAAGACTTAAGTTGTAGGGTCACTTTTAGGATTCTTGTTATCTAAGACATATTAGCTTTCATTACAAATCTAGTTTATTTTCTTACCTAGAAATAATCAGTGCATTTCATTTGGTTGATCCTGTTGTTAACCTGTTTTTATTGTTATCAGTTTCATAACTTGTTGACTTAGCCTGTTAATATTGCAAAAGCTTTGCTGAGAATAACTATGGCTCACTTCCTGATTCTGAGTGTCTGTTTGTGGCTCCTTTGTATTTCCCATAGAAAGATCACTACAGTAATGATAGGTTGTTTGGAAAAACCATTCCTTGTTCTTATGGGGGGGGGGGTGTGTGTGTGTGTGCTTACATGACATGTTCTTAATTAAGGATTTTTAAGAATTTGCATGCCCTTCATATATAGTTTACATTGAGACTGGAGTGTATATATAAATGCATATAGTCTCAATGTAGACTATATTGAAATATTTACAGAAAAATTCTATAGTTTATGGGAGTGAGATGATAACGAACTCTAAGAACATTGGTTAACAAGGTATGACCCGTTAGTCACATGCTGACTAAGAGCCTGGCTCTGGAGTCAAGCCGCCAGGTGTTTAAATTCTAGCTCCTGTAACCTTAGGCGAGTTATTAACCCCTCTGCGTCTGAGTGCTCTCATCTTAAAATGGGAATAATAATAGTACCTACCTCATAGAATTAATTCAGATAATGTATGTAAAGTATGTAGCAGCATGCCCAGCACAGGGCACACTTAATAAATGTTAGCTGACATCTTTTATTAATAAAATATCACTTCAAGAGTGAGACCAGAGCTCTTGAACTGTTGGTTAAGTAAAAAATTTACTTGGCGCTAAGCCATGGGGCCGGCCTGGTGGCGCAAGTGGTTAAGTGCGCGCGCTCCGCTGTGGCGGCCTGGGGTTCGCCAGTTGGGATCCCAGGCGTGCACCGACGGACTGCTTGTCTAGCCATGCTGTGGCGGCGTCCCATATAAAGTGGAGGAAGATGGGCATGGATGTTAGCCCAGGGCCAGTCTTTCTCAGCAAAAAAAAAAGAGGAGGATTGGCAGATGTTAGCACAAGGCTGATCTCTCACAAAAATAAATAAAATAAAATAAATTAAAATAAAATAAAATAAAATAAAATAAAATAAAATAAAATAAAATAAAAAGGGCC